GGAGATGCTTTTTTCTTGAGAGTTACACATAAACAGTATTTATTTTAAAGGGCTGTAGACATTGGCCAATAAATTTTCTTATTAATATATTGTTTCTTAAAGGTATGAGTCAGGTTATATCAATCGTCTCGGGCTTGATATCGAAGCCAGTTCTAAACAACGCGTTTTTGTTTGAATCTTTCTCGAAAGTAATTATCAAGTTGGGGACGAAACGGAGTTGCAGTTAACGTTGGAAGAGGGGGTGGGCTGACCTGGGGGGGGGGGGTCACAATATCGAATGCATTTTTAACGTAACAAATATATTTTTATAATAGTATAATAGAGTAGAAGACCTAGACCCCACTAGAGTCCCTATCTCCCACCAAACAATCCAGTTTGGGGAAGGCTGTCGTATAGATTGGTTTCGAGATCAGCGTAGTCTAGACGTGTATCCTGCTTACTAAGCTGAAGTTACCCCTGTTTTGTAAGTCAAAAGCTTTTAAAGAACACAACGTGAATTACTTCGGGGGCACAAAGACAGGGCGGACGTGGAGGTTTTTGTCCATAGACAGACGGAGTCTTTCATCGCCTCGGCCGGACTTTTCCCAGCATATGAGTAGTTGGGATAGTGGGTGTTGAGTGGGTGCCCCCTTGGGTCCTTGGTTATTGTCCATCTGTTGTCCCTGTCTCGATATACGATAGTTCAGTTGGCATGCGACTGGACTATGATGCCGATGAACCTGATTCGAAACTGCAACAGAGTATTCTTGGACTTGGGTCGTTTGGGTAATTTTTAATGTTCCCCATTAACTTAATTCATTTTTGACAGAGACGAACTTTGAATTCGGAAGTCCATTCCCCATGAACGATTCGACCGCTCGTAAATATTCTACACTCCATAGACACAATTTAAATCTTTTAGGAGAAATGCTGCTTCTAACGTATGTGGTGGGTAGATGGTGGGTGCTTTGGTGTGGTGTGCTTCTTCTTTCCTATAAAAATTCTATCTCTCCTCCTTCTTTTTGCGTTTGTTGCTCTCTTGTAACACCTCTAAACTTCGACATTCATATGACTTTGTAGTATTGCAAGTGCAGTAAAAAAGTTACTGAACCGAACTTACCTGTCAGGGACAACCTACGCTCGATGTTAAACCACAGCTTTGCGGAAAGACTAGATGCTAACTAAAACAGATTTTCCCTCGAGGGAATCAATTTAATGTCTTTTAGGTACACCGACAAAGATGCTTATACTTACGAACAGAACACATCTACGTGCCCCTTCTCAGCCCGAAGACACATAACAGAAATAACTTAATCGAAAAAAAAGCACGCGTGCTGAAATAATAGTGGAGCTGTGTCAATCACGGGACTATTCGAAAAAAAAGCCCAAACAAACAAATCCTACAACACAACCCCAGAACAAACATTGTGGTTTATCTGTGCTGGAACATACTGTCTAGGTGGAT